CCCTTTCGAGGACGACCCCTACCCCTCTTTCCTTCCCCTATAGATTTATATGCTTTCCATGTCATTCTACTTTGATCCATTCTCTCTAAATGACCAAACCACCTCAACAACCCCTCTTCTGCCCTCTGACTAATGCTTTTATTAACTCCACACCTTCTCCTAATTTCCACACTCCGAATTTTCTGAATAATATTTACACCACACATTGCCCTTAGACAGGACATCTCCACTGCCTCCAACCGTCTCCTCGCTGCTGCATTTACCACCCAAGCTTCACATCCATATAAGAGTGTTGGTACTACTATACTTACATACATTCCCTTCTTTGTCTCCATAGATAACGTTTTTTGACTCCACATATACCTCAACGCACCACTCACCTTTTTTCCCTCATCAATTCTATGATTAACCTCATCCTTCATAAATCCATCCGCCGACACGTCAACTCCCAAGTATCTGAAAACATTCACTTCTTCCATACTCCTCCTCCCCAATTTGATATCCAATTTTTCTTTATCTAAATCATTTGATACCCTCATCACCTTACTCTTTTCTATGTTCACTTTCAACTTTCTACCTTTACACACATTCTCAAACTCATCCACTAACCTTTGCAATTTTTCTTTAGAATCTCCCATAAGCACAGTATCATCAGCAAAAAGTAACTGTGTCAATTCCCATTTTGAATTTGATTCCCCATAATTTAATCCCACCCCTCTCCCGAACACCCTAGCATTTACTTCTTTTACAACCCCATCTATAAATATATTAAACAACCATGGTGACATTACACATCCCTGTCTAAGACCTACTTTTACCGGGAAGTATTCTCCCTCTCTTCTACACACCCTAACCTGAGCCTCACTATCCTCATAAAAGCTCTTTACAGCATTTAGTAACTTACCACCTATTCCATATACTTGCAACATCTGCCACATTGCTCCTCTATCCACTCTATCATATGCCTTTTCTAAATCCATAAATGCAATAAAAACTTCCCTACCTTTATCTAAATACTGTTCACATATATGCTTCAATGTAAATACTTGATCTACACATCCCCTACCCACTCTGAAGCCTCCTTGCTCGTCCGCAATTCTACATTCTGTCTTACCTCTAATTCTTTCAATTATAACCCTACCGTATACTTTTCCTGGTATACTCAGTAAACTTATTCCTCTATATATATATATATATATATATATTTATTTTTTTATTATCACACCGGCCGATTCCCACCAAGGCAGGGTGGCCCGAAAAAGAAAAACTTTCACCATCATTCACTCCATCACTGTCTTGCCAGAAGGGTGCTTTACACTACAGTTTTTAAACTGCAACATTAACACCCCTCCTTCAGAGTGCAGGCACTGTACTTCCCATCTCCAGGACTCAAGTCCGGCCTGCCGGTTTCCCTGAATCCCTTCATAAATGTTACTTTGCTCACACTCCAACAGCACGTCAAGTATTAAAAACCATTTGTCTCCATTCACTCCTATCAAACACGCTCACGCATGCCTGCTGGAAGTCCAAGCCCCTCGCACACAAAACCTCCTTTACCCCCTCCCTCCAACCCTTCCTAGGCCGACCCCTACCCCGCCTTCCTTCCACTACAGACTGATACACTCTTGAAGTCATTCTGTTTCGCTCCATTCTCTCTACATGTCCGAACCACCTCAACAACCCTTCCTCAGCCCTCTGGACAACAGTTTTGGTAATCCCGCACCTCCTCCTAACTTCCAAACTACGAATTCTCTGCATTATATTCACACCACACATTGCCCTCAGACATGACATCTCCACTGCCTCCAGCCTTCTCCTCGCTGCAACATTCATCACCCACGCTTCACACCCATATAAGAGCGTTGGTAAAACTATACTCTCATACATTCCCCTCTTTGCCTCCAAGGACAAAGTTCTTTGTCTCCACAGACTCCTAAGTGCACCACTCACTCTTTTTCCCTCATCAATTCTATGATTCACCTCATCTTTCATAGACCCATCCGCTGACACGTCCACTCCCAAATATCTGAATATGTTCACCTCCTCCATACTCTCTCCCTCCAATCTGATATTCAATCTTTCATCACCTAATCTTTTTGTTATCCTCATAACCTTACTCTTTCCTGTATTCACCTTTAATTTTCTTCTTTTGCACACCCTACCAAATTCATCCACCAATCTCTGCAACTTCTCTTCAGAATCTCCCAAGAGCACAGTGTCATCAGCAAAGAGCAGCTGTGACAACTCCCACTTTGTGTGTGATTCTTTATCTTTTAACTCCACGCCTCTTGCCCCATATATATATATATATATATATATATATATATATATATATATATATATATATATATATATATATATATATTTATATATATATTATATATATATATATATATATATATATATATATATATATATATATATATATATTTATATATATTTCTCCATGGGGAAGTGGAATAGAATTCTTCCTCCGTAAGCCATGCGTGTTGTAAGAGGCAACTAAAATGCCGGGAGCAAGGGGCTAGTAACCTCTTCTCCTGTATATATTACTAAATGTAAAAGGAGAAACTTTCGTTTTTCCTTTTGGGCCACCCCGCCTCGGTGGGATACGGCCGGTGTGTTGAAAGAAGAAGAAGATATATATATATATATATATATATATATATATATATAATATATATATATATATATATATGGATGGTGTAAATATTATGCAGAAAATTCGGAGTGTGGAAATTAGGAGAAGGTGTGGAGTTAATAAAAGCATTAGTCAGAGGGCAGAAGAGGGGTTGTTGAGGTGGTTTGGTCATTTAGAGAGAATGGATCAAAGTAGAATGACATGGAAAGCATATAAATCTATAGGGGAAGGAAAGAGGGGTAGGGGTCGTCCTCGAAAGGGTTGGAAAGAGGGGGTAAAGGAGGTTTTGTGGGCTAGGGGCTTGGATTTCCAGCAAGCGTGCATGAGCGTGTTAGATAGGAGTGAATGGAGACGAATGATACTTGGGACCTGACAATCTGTTGGAGTGTGAGCAGGGTAATATTTAGTGAAGGGATTCAGGGAAACCGGTTATTTTCATATAGTCGGACTTGAGTCCTGGAAATGGGAAGTACAATGCCTGCACTTTAAAGGAGGGGTTTGGGATATTGGCAGTTTGGAGGATATGTTGTGTATCTCTATACGTATATGCTTCTAAACTGTTATATTCTGAGCACCTCTGCAAAAGCAGTGATAATGTGTGAGTGTGGTGAAAGTGTTGAATGATGATGAAAGTATTTTCTTTTTGGGGATTTTCTTTCTTTTTTGGGTCACCCTGCCTCGGTGGGAGACGGCCGACTTGTTGAAAAAAAAAAAAAATAATAATAGTAATAATAATAATTATTAATATTATTATTATTATTATTATTATTAATATTATTATTATTAATATTATTATTATTAATATTATTATTAATATTATTATTATTATTATTATTATTAATATTAATATTATTAATATTAATAATAATAATAATAATAATATTATTATTATTATTATTATTATTATTATCTTCATTCACTCTAAAAATGGTGTGTTGCTGTTTGTTTATTCTGAACTAACTTGTACAACTTGTACACAATGTAAGAGTATTTGTATTGTGAGGTAATTATTACTAAAATAAAAAAATACTGAGGTAAATGTTTTACAAACTCTTACAAATGGACGTGAATGAACTAAAAGTAGACACATTAATGGCATTTATTTCGCCTGTCCAAGTGATTGTCCACTACCTGTTCAGTTTGTGTTCTTACATTGTCTCAACTCTGTATCTCGTTCTCTCTCTCGTTTACTCTTTCGTTAACCAGTTGGCTCTCATTGACGATGGCGTCTAAGGTTAGCTGTAATAAAAAGAGAAGTCGTAAGCCTCTTGCTTTAAGTGCCAAGTTAGAGGATGATGGTGTGCCATTCTGATTTTATACAATAAGCACCCTGCCACTCACCTCTCACACATTAATATTAATATTTTAAGGTAAGTAATAAGTATACTCTGTGTGTATCTTACCTTTTATTGTGTTTTTAATGCCTATTTCTATTGCTAACTTAATGTAAGTTAGTGTAAACTTGTTGTCTGTCATTTATTGCATATTTTATATGCTCTTATAATAATACTTGTGGAGCCAGGTGGAGGGACAACATTACGTTTTCTCTGCTCAGCCATCAGAGAAAACGTGTATGAATCTGCGTTTGGCCCAGCAACTCCCCCCACTCCGCTTTTGTTTACAATTTTCGGCATGAATTATTCATTACTTCTACCTTCGTTTATGATGGCATCTAAAGGTAGTTGTTAGAAATGATTAAATTCAGTGAACAAGGCATGTCGATGTTAATAATATGGCTCTGGGCCAGTGTAAGTAGCTGGTAGGTGTAGCCCAGGCTACACCTAACGGCTACCTACACTGACTTTATACAAATAAATACTACTCACCACTCTTCCTATATTAAGACTACACATATTTTAAGGTAAATAATGAGTGTACTGTATGTGCCTTTTACCTCTCTGGGATGTTTTAAATATCGTATATTAAGTATGAGACGGGGAGCCAGTGCTACCTACACCTGGGCTACCTGCACCTGACTTCCTACAAATAAGTACTACTCACCTCTCTCCCTACATTAAGATTACAAATACTTTAAGATAAGTAATGAATTTACTGTGACTGTATTTTACTTTGTGTGTTTTTAATGCCTAGTTCTATTACTAACTTAATATAATTTAGTGTAAACTTGTTGTCTGGCATTTATATGCATTTATAAATGGAAAAAAATGGAGTTCTGCCTTCCGGCGATGTCTGCTTTCCAGCGACAGCCTGGAAAGCAACAGTGAAAGGGTTCCAAAACACTTGTCTCTATTCACTCCTATCTAACATGCTCACACAAGCCTACTGGAATATGAAATTAGCAATTTACACAATGTAGAAAGAGTATTGTACACGACTTTCAGAAAATGTAAATGCTTACCTTCTGGACAACAAAGGTTGGACAAAATTTCTAAAGCCAGTTGCTGAGCTAGGATAAGATGCTCCAGATCTTGTGGGGCTGTACAAAATTTAGAGTCTACAATGGCTGTGACACCTGCATAGTGATTCACCAAAGACAAGGTGTCAGTCTCCAGAACTGTTGACAATATCTTCAAGACAAGCTGAAAATTGTTGCCACTGGTTGTACAATAGCTGATATTCAAAAGAAGACCTGCAAAAAATATAAAAATTAAGTTATTACAAACATTGATTTTTTTTTTTTTTTGCTTGAATGGCCATCTTCACAAGGGAAGGGTGACCCAAAGAAGAAAACATATTCACCATCCTTCATTCAACAGCTGTCTTTTCAGAAGCATGCTAACATAACAATTCAGATTACACACTGAGTGCAACATCCATACCCTCCTGAGTGCAAGCACTTCCCTTCCTACCTCTAAAAACTTAAGTCCAACTAACTGGTTTCCCTGAATCTCTTCATAAAAGTTACTTTACTTTCTTAATAATTTTATTATTTGTAGTTCAGATTCAGATTACACCTACCATCCAACTTACGACCAAGCTTGGTTCCGACCAACCGGTTGTAAGTCAAAATGGACGTAAGTCTAACCTTTGAAAATTGCCGACATACTGGGTAGGGCATAATGTCAAACTTTTTCCTATATAAAGTACCTACATAGTACTGTAATGTAATGTACAATCATTATTTCATTCTTTTTATCATAATTTACTTCTATTGTTATATTTTAATTATTTATGTACTGTATGTAATGTATACATGGTAGTGATCTGTATTGTAAATTTTACATCGCATGCAGTATCATATGTTACTGTTATCTTTATGTACTGTTGACACAGTGGAATGGGAGAATACCACTGGTAGTGTCATCCTGCCAGAATGTAGTATAACCTATATCTTAAGTAAAGAGAAACAACTCTGGAACATGTGTAATACGTAGCTGGCTGGCTGGCCGGGTGGGTGGTTGGCTGACTGAATGTGGCTCTCTCTCTCTCTCTGTATCTCTCTCTCTCTCTCTCACAGGTACACATAAGTGAAATTATCATACATAGTATAAATTACCTAGGATAACCCAAAAAATCCAAAGTGCTATACAGTGGATCTGTGCTCCAGTGCCCTAAATTAATAATAATATTAATAATTATTATTATTACAATAATACATATGTACTAATATTAATAATAATATTATTATTACACTATAATATAATAATTGTGTCAACTCATTACTTACCTTAACCCTTTGACTGTCACGGCCGTATATATACGTCTTATGAGGTACCGTGTTTGACGTATAAATACTCATAAATTCTAGCGGCTTCAAATCAAGCAGGAGAAAGCTGGTAGGCCCACACGTGAGAGAATGGGTCTGTGTGGTCAGTGTGCACCATATAAAAAAAATCCTGGAGCACGCAGTGCATAATGAGAAAAAAAAACTCCGACCGTTTTTTTAATTAAAATGCCGACTTTGTGGTCTATTTTCATATAGTATTTATGGTTGTATTCTCGTTTTCTTGGTCTCATTTGATAGAATGGAAAACATATTATAGAAATAGAGGTGATTTTGATTGATTTTACTATAAAAAGAACCTAGAAATGGAGCTCAAAGTAGGGGAAATGTTTGATTTTTGCCAATGTTCAAAAGTAAACAAATGATGCCATTGTCCAACAAATGTCCAACTAGCCATTCTAATATGCAGTCATGAATGGGTTGATGTTATTTATACAATTATTACAGTATTGCAGTAGTCTGCATAATAGTAAGTCTTCTATTTTTTGTTTGAATAAAAATTCAAAATAGAAAGCAGAGTAATATCAGAGGGGCCTGGAGACATGACTGATGAGCAAAGAAAATGCTATTTTAGAGCCAGGAATGTCTGCATTGTTCATTCTGGACCTTATTTTGAAATTGTCATATTTTTTAGTTTTCGTGAAATTGGCCAAATTGCAAATTTCTGACCACATTATTAGGTAGTTGAAATTGGTAAATGGGCAGTTTCTTGTACTCAATCGATAGAAAAAATGGAGTTCTAAAGAAATAGCTATGAGTTTGGGCGACTGGAATAATGGAATTAGCCGAAAATAGGGCTCAAAGTGGGCGAAATCGCCGATTTGTAAACAGCGCCGAGGTCGCTAACTTCGCGAGAGCATAATTCTGTCAGTTTTCCATCAAATTTCGTTTTTTTTGGTGTCATTACAATCGGGAAAAGATTCTCTATCATTTCATAAGAAAAAATAATTTTTTTTTTAAATTTTGCGACACCAGTAGACACCTCAGGATTGGGGGTTGCGACAGTCAAAGGGTTAAAATATCTGTAGTCTTAATGTAGAGCGAGAGGCGAGTAAACAAGATTAAATGAATAAACGAATGAGTGTAGAAGGTTGGCGAGTTATGTAAACAAATGTTGTTGTTGTTACCAGCCCAGACACGAATGGTTTCTGTTCACTCTGTCAAGCCAACCAGAAAAACATCTCATATTTGTTAATTTATATGTTTATATGTTATGTAGCATGTTTATTATATAATTTTGAAAAAGAAATCATAGATGGATTAAGCAAAATGTCTATATCAACGTTTTATACACATTTAATGTGCCTCAGTGATTATTGTGTTATCATTATTAATATGGCGTCTTCAAGACCAATTACACTCTTAATGAGCGGCCGAGACAGACAAGCAGACAGAAAGACAGACACAGGTAGACAGACATACACAGGTAGACAGAAAGACACACACAGGTAGACAGAGACAGACACACAGGTAGAAACACACACAGGTAAACAGAAAGACACACAGGTAGACAGAAAGACACACACAGGTAGACAGAAAGACAGACACAGGTAGACATAAAGACAGACAAAGACACACACAGGTAGACAAAGACAGACATACAGGTAGACATAGACACAGGTAGACAGAAAGACAGACACACAGGTAGACAGGCAGATAAACAGACACATGGAGATACACAGATATACAGGCAGACAGATACAGACAGGTTTATGTGCAATAGTGAAAACAAATAGAGAGTTCGAGAGTAAGAGCCTTTCTTGCCACAATCTCCAGTGCAAGATTCAGACTTCATCTTAGGGGCCATGGTGAAATTTACTGTCCAGTTAGTACAGTTAATACAGTATGATGCTGCTGATAGGGCAGGGTTACTCAAACTGATGCTGCCTGCATGACGCATTGCCGCCGCGAGTATTGTCAAATATTGTACAGTGGTATGCATCAGCCGGCCCAGCCCAGCTGCCAGATGCACGGTCGTAAGTCGAGTGGACATATGTCGAGCAGGTTGTAAGTTGGATGGTAGGTGTATTTATTTCAGCATGATACAATATTTGCACAGATATGGGTGACATTTAACCCTTTCAGGGTCCGTCCCAGCCAATTTGTAAACAGCTCCGAGGTCACTAACTTCGCGAGAGCATAATTCCGTCAGTTTTCCATCAAATTTCGTTTTTTTGGTGTCATTACAATCGGGAAAAGATTCTCTATCATTTCATAAGAAACAATAATTTTTTTTTTTTAAATTTTGCGACACCAGGAGACACCTCAGGATTGGGGGTTGCGACAGTCAAGGGGTTAAGTACATGCATGCAGAGAGCCCCTTAGTATGCAGAACATGTCAGGCAAACTTAAGCCTATCTTAAGACAATATTCAGTTGACTGCTTATATATAGTCTCTGAGTGGTCATAACAATAAATTAAGGAATTACAAGGAGCACAGGAAAACTAATTAGCGTATTAATACTGTCTATATAACATTTATTGAGTAAAATTGTTTTAGGGATTATACATTGAATTACAGGTTGGATTATGACTACAGGAAATGAGGTTCTAGAACATTAAATATTTTGAACACAATCAATATACAGTAGGACCCCCATATATGCAGGTCCAGTATCTGCAGTTTCAGTTATCTGTGGCCCGAAAACAACCCTTAATTTTGCTTAATAATGGCCTCAAAGTGCAAAAGTAGCGATGGTGGAAGTTCTTGAAAGCCTAAGAGAAGCTGTGAAGTATTTCCCATTAATCAAAATATAATAATTCTCCACTTATTATTCATAATTTATCAATTAAACTTTATAATAGGTATGTATGTAAATGAAAAAAACTTATATACGTATAGGGTTCGCTACTATTGCAGCCTGGTATTCTTGGCAGGTCCTTGGAACGTATGCCCCGCAGATATGGGGATCCTACTGTATTTAATAGCTGTGAGGATTACAGATAATAGCTAAGAACTTGGTCGACTGGAATAATGTAATTGGCCTAAAATGGGAGTCAAAGTCGGCAAAATCGCCGATGCGTAAATATCGCTTACATGTCAAAATTTGCGAGAGCATAATTTCATCAATTTCCCATCAAATTTTGTACTTTTTGTTTTATTACCATCAGAAAAAGATTCTCTACCATTTCATAAGAAAAAATATTTTTTTTTTTTAAATTCTTGGACCCTGGTGTACACTTTGACACTACTTTTTTTAATGCCACTGGGAACAACTTGACAGTCACTGGACCTCTGTCGCACAAAAATCTGTCCAGAACTCTGTATCTGGCATTCCTTTAAGATTTTCTTAAAATGGGCCATAACATTGTCATTGTAAGTCACCAGCATAGCAGCTTGCAATAGCTGTGTCAGGGTGATGTTCTTCCACAAAAGCTTGCACCTTTGTCCATGTTGTACAAATGTCCTTAATTGTTAAAGAAGGCAACTTCCTCTGTCTCTCTCTCTCCCCTCTGAAGCAATTTCCTCAATTGTGGCCTCTTGCTGTTGCAGATGGTCTTGCAGCTCATCAGTGGCTAGTTCTTCATTGTTGTCCTCCACCAACTCTTCCACATCCTCCCCACTAACCTCCAACCCCATGGACTTCTCCAATGACACAATAGATTCCACAACTGGTATAGGCTCCTCAGGGATAGCCCCAAACCCTTCAAAATCCCTCTCTTGTACACATTGTGGCCACAATTTCCTCCAAGCAGAGTTCATAGTCCTGCAAGTCACTTTCTCCCAAGCCTTACCTATAAGGTTTATGCAACTGAGGATACTAAAGTGATCTTTCCAAAACTCTCTTACAGTCATTTCAGTGTCTGAGGTCACTTCAAAGCACTTTTGAAACACTGCTTTGGTGTATAGTTTTTTGAAATTTGAAATGACCTGCTGGTCCATGGGCTGGAGGAGAGGCATGGCATTAGGAGGCAAAAACTTCACTGTGATGAAGCTCAACTCCCCCACAATTTGCTCTGGCAAGTCTGGAGGATGAGCAGGAGCACTGTCTAATACCAGGAGGCACTTGAGGTCCAATTTATTTTCCAGGAGGTAATTTTTCACAGTGGGACCAAACACATGATAGAACCAATCATGGAAAATGTCCCTAGTGACCCATGCCTTACTGTTTGCCCTCCACATCACACACAAATTAGCCTTGATGACACTGTTTTTCTTGAACACTGAGAGTTTTAGAGTGATACATGAGTAAAGGCTTCACTTTGCAATCCCCACTAGCATTACTACAAAACATTAGGGTTAGCATGTCTTTCATAGGCTTGTGTCCTGGCAGTGCTTTTTCCTCATGTGTAATGTAGGTCCTGTTTGGTATTTTTTTCCCAAAACAAGCCTGTTTTATCACAATTAAACACTTGTTGGGGTTTTAATTTTTCAGTGTCTATGTACTCCTTGAATTCCTGCACATATTTTTCAGCCGCTTTTTGGTCACAACTGGCAGCCTTACCATGCCTTGTCACACTGTGTATGCCACTACGATTCTTAAATCTCTCAAACCAACCTTTGCTGGCCTTAAATTCACTAACATCACCACTAGTTCCAGGCATTTTTTTAATTAAATCGTCATGCAACTGCCTTGCCTTTTCACATATGATTGACTGTGAAACACTATCTCCTGATAATTGTTTGTCGTTGATCCACACCAATAACAGTCTCTCCACATCTTCGAGTATTTGCGATCTCTGTTTTGTAAGCATACTTGCAACTTTTGCAACAACAGCTTCCTTGACTGCCTTTCTGTTGGCCAAGATAGTAGCCATAGTTGATTGGGGTTTGTTGTTTAACCAGGCCAGCTTGGAGCCACGCACTCCACTTTCATACTGTGCGATTATCTCTTTCCTCAATTCGATTGTGCACCTCACCACTTTGTAAACCCATGGTGGTTCATTTAGTAGTTACAAGCACTAAAAACAATGGAATAATACATGTATCAAATGTATGTGTGGAATCATCTGCAGTGGCTTGTCAACAATGGCACACTAGCTGAAGGCAGGGTAGCTGAGGTGCACTCAGGTGGATGCGTTTGGGATGATTGTCCTTAACCAGGTTTTTCATAGTTGGCGGAGCCAATATTTTTATGCTAAAATGCATCATTAGCCGATTTTATCGCTAGCCGATGTCATCATTACCCGAGGGTCCACTGTACTATTATTACAATACAGTGGTCCCTCGCTTTTCGTAGTTCTCGGCAATTGTAAATTTTGCCAATCATAGGGGTATTTTCGTATAAACATGGACTTGCTTTTCATAGGTTGACTCGCGAATAGTAGTTCGTCCGGGACGCGTATGCACGGTGTGAGCCGGGGCGGCCTCCCTACCCAGCCAGTCTGGCATTGTTTACCAGTGAGTGTAGGTCCCCTCAAGTGCTCCTACGAAATATTTCATAATATTCCACTAATTTTAGTGCTTGCAATTAATAAATAAGCTACCATGGCTCCAAAGAAAGCTCCTAGTGCCAAGCCTGTGGTAAAGAAGGTGAGAAATATGTACAGTGACAGTCTTGGGCCATTTTAGGGAAGTGCTAAAGAGACGCCAGAAACAGAGCTCTCTCCACAGTTACTTTGCGAGACAGGACTAGAGTGACTCTCAAGGTGGTCCTAGTGGCATTAAACAGAGAAGAGAAGCAATTGGTGCCTGAGGTGTTGCTGTAAGGGGATTTCCCTTCCAAACTGTAAACAATCCAATCTCTCTCCTCCTCCAGTCTCCCATACACTAAGAAGAATCTCCAATAAAGGTAAGTGTTATGCTGTTAATGTTTCATTCATCATTTCCCATTGTATTGTTTATGTACTATATGTATATTTCATGTAAAAATTTTTTTGTTTTAATACTTCTGGGTGTCAGGAATGGATTAATTGTACTTACATTATTTCTTATGGGGAAAATTGATTCGCAAATCGTAAATTTCGTTTATAGTAACGGCTCCAGGAACAGATTAATTACAAAAAACGAGGGACCACTGTATTTCATAACAGTAAATCTTCTAATTTTTGTGTGAATAAAAATTCAAAATGGAATTCATGTGTAAAGCTGGGAATGTAACTAATGAACCCAGGAAATGTTATTTTAGTGCCAGGAATGCCTGCATTGTTATTCTGGACCATATTTTGAAATGGAAATATTTTGAAATTTGTGTGAAACTGGACAAATTACCAATTTCTGATCACTTTACTGGGTAGTTGTAGTAGTTGATTGGGCAGTTTCTTGTGCTCAGTTGCTAAAATAGAAGGAACACTTGCAAAATAGCTAAGAATTTGATCGACTGGAACAATGTAATTGGCCTAAAATAAGACTCAAAGTCGATAAAATCAGTGCTGCGTAAATATTGTTGATGCTGCAAAATTCGTGATAGCGTAATTCCATCAAGTTTCCATCAAATTTGTACTTTTTGTTTTATTACCTTCAGAAAAAGATTCTCTACCATTTCATAAGAAAAAAACAACTTTTTTTTTTTTTTAAATTCTTGGACTCTGTGGACAAGTCTCAGATTGGGGGTCTGGACCCTCAAAGGGTTAAGTTTAGCTATTTATACAGGAGAAGGGGTCACTAGCCCCTTGCTCCCATCATTTTAGACACCTCTTATGACACGCATGGCTTACAAAGGAAGAATTCTTTTCCACTTCCCCATGGAGATAAGAGGAAATACAGAACAAGAACTACGTATTAAGAAAACAGAATATTTATTTATTTATTTATTTATTTAAAAATTTGAGCACACATACAGAGGTACAACAAATACAGGTAAGAGCAGTATGCCAAAGCCACTTATACTATGCATAGCATTACGGGCTGGCTTAAAATTAACTTAAGATTAACTAAGCAATGATGAAATCAGTGATAAAACATTAATGTAAACAGGTTACTATAAAGCACAAGTGAGTATTGCAAAGACAGGTCATATGGTTGTATGCATTGTTGTACATTCAGTAGAATGGAGTATTCTGTTAGGTAGTGTATTTAAAAAATAATAAAGTTAGATTGGGTTTTAGGTTTAACATTTATGTGATATAATTGTGAGAAACATTTAAGATATACAATTTATAAGGTTCAGTTATTCAGTATTTATTTGGTTTTGGGTGAGTAAGTGATCTTTGAGAAGAGACTTGAATTTATAAACAGGTAGTGTTTCTTTTATATTTACAGGTAATGAATTCCAGATTTTAGGGCCTTTTATGTGCATTGAGTTTTTACATAGTGTGAGATGGACACGAGGAACATCAAAGAGTGATCTGTGCCTTGTGTTATGGTCATGTGTTCTGTTGAGGTTGGCAAGGAGATGTTTGAGGGGAGGGTTAATATCAGAGTTAAGTGTTCTATGTATGTAATAGGTGCAGTAGTAAGTATGGATGTTTTGTATGGTGAGGAGGTTTAGTGTATTGAATATTGGTGGAGTGTGCTGCCTATAGTGAGAATTTGTTATCATTCTAACTGCAGCCTTTTGTTGGGTAATTAGTGGTCTGAGATGGTTACTTGTTGTTGAGCCCCATGCACATAAAACCCAGATGGTTGTGTAAATATTTGTGTGCACATGCATGTGTAGGGTGACCTAAGTGTAAGTACAAGTAGCAAGATATACCTGTTATCTTCGTGCTTATGAGACAAAAATAGACACCACTTTTATTTTACATATATCATTAATGTCTTTGTATATATATATGTACTAATAATGTTTATATTATGATCTCAGGTTTTATCTATGCAAAATGCCCTGCATAACCAGGGACTTTCCATTTGCAATATTAAATATCATCCAATTTTTTGCAACAACCATGCATTATGGAAACAAATTCCTGCTTATGAAAACTAATCAAAAGAATGAAGTTCACACTTAAAAAACCGGACAACAAGAGAGGTAGACAAATGAAAAGAACATAAAATATTGTTATAAGGACCACATTTTAACAGATCCATAGTGAACAATAACGTACCTGCTATAGTAGAGGCAAAACGCAAATCAACAGCAGAGTCAGCAGGACGGGACACAAAAAGTACCAGCGAGTCAGCGGATGGGAGAAGTACAGAGGAAATAGTAGGGTTATTCTCTGACACACACAGAAGGCATTCAGCTACTGCCAGAGCCAAAGTATGACCCCAAGTAGATGGGTCTACATGATGAAGCAAAACATGAACTAGACCTTTCCGGTTAAATACACTCAGAGCCTCTTCACTGCATTCACTGAAATTAAAATTTTTTTAAGTTAGCTACTTGCATATCTCTCTCTCTCCCCCCCCCCCAAAAAAAAAAAATTAGAGCATAAGCAAACCTCAACATATTTCCACAGCTTACACTAAATAAAAATCACACTTTTTATTTAGTATCCCATTACTTACACTAGCAATATATCATTTTTGGGGAACTTAATACTATTAAATGGCACTCAAGAATTTGGAGATAGTGAACACATTTAATAAGGTTCCACATGTTTACTGTTGAATTGAAGTTGGAGAGATACCAGACTGGTCATTAAAAAATGATAGAGCACAATGATGTGGCCCATCTTCTATATCTCTGGCAGTATGACAAGGGGCATTACCATCCACACGAAGTTGCTCTGGCACTTCTTGAAAGTGCCAGAGCAACTGGCACTGCTAGGTGAACAGGGGCAGCAGGTGTAGGGTGCTAGGAAACATGCCCAACATTTCATACATGCCAGGGATTGATTCTGAACCCTTTATGTGTGAGCTGAGGATGCTACCAACCAACCATGGACTACACTATAGAAAGCCTTTTGTTATACAGATCATCTCAGATTTCCGCAGACTAAAACAAGAACTTAAAGTTATTTGATTGCTCAAATTGCAAAACAATTTGAAATTTTTTTTTCTAGGAGTAATATTAATAAAAAAATAAATTGTATATACAGTAGACCATCAATTAAGATGTGATCTTCTATAACATTTTTGATATATGACTATTGCAAAATTGCTGCACATTTTCGATCATCACTGTGAAATTCATCTATGATGGTGCAACTTTAGGGAAAAAAATAGCAAAAAGCCTGTACAAGAAGGCTAGTAACCACTAATTTCATGATAACTACACACTGCTATGTCACTTAGTCATTCACTTACTCTAGCTGCATTTACACAAATGTTGAATGTGTTAGTGATTGATATTAATGTGTGGATAATACAATAAGTAAACAAAAAGTGAAGGGATAATCTTGTGGCGCCACCATGATAAATGTGTCTGAAATTCTGAGGGGCCACCGCAGTATACACTTTATTTATAATTTTTTTATCATCACAGGAAAACAACAAATGTTATTAAATTAGTTTATTCCTGCACACCAGTCAATAGATGTAGTGTTTTCATATCTGCATGATGTACAGTGCTTGTCATGGCATTATGCCAGGTGACCGCCCCAGCATAATGCTGTAACGAAAAACAAAGGCCTACCATACAGGGATGGGGTCTTTTTTCGTCAGTGCATTCTGCTGGGTAGCAGCTATTAGCATGATGTCTTGGCCTGCCACCACACTTCACAGTGACTTCTCATTGCTCACGTGGCTGCCATGGTGAGAAGAAATGTTGCCCTGTTCTCTCTTATCCGCCCCATCTTTTGTCCGGTGTTCCCTTTGGTTTTGGAGCTATACATGTTAGAGAGTAACTGCTTGTTTAACACAGTTAAGGTATGAACAGATGTCTTCTTCAAGGTTTGAAAGACAGTAACTCGACACCTCCACCAGCCTTGAAACACTGTACAAAGTTCCTCACTGAACACACACACACCAACATTCTCCACTATTTTCTTCATCTATTGCCCAGCTTTGTGAAGTCCTATGATTTGAGTTATAGTTTCAGGTGTTAAAAAGACTTCCTTTTACCCATAATCAAACATGTACAGCTCCAAAACCAAAGGGAACACCGGACAAAAGATGAGGCGGATGAGAGACAACAGTGCAACACTTCCTCTCACCATGGCAGCCACGTGAGCAATGAGAAATCACTGTGAAGTGTGTTGGCAGGCCAAGACATCATGCTAATGGCTGCTACCCAGCAGAATGCACTAACGAAAAAAGACCCCTCTGTATGGTAGGCCTTTGATTTTCATCACAGCATTATGCCGGGGTACTCACCTGGTATAATGCCGTGACAAGCACTGTAGAGGTACATGGGAGACAGTGAAAGGGTTAAAAGAATAATTTATGGTGATCATTCTTATCTGTGTGAGGAATTTATGTGCATGCATACAGTAGGGCCCCACTTATACAGCAGGTTAGGTTCCAGGCTACTGCCGGAAAGCAGACAACACCTAAAAGCAGAACTCCATTTTTTCACTTATAAATACATATAAATGCCAGATAACAAGTTACACTAGCATAAATTAAGTTAGCAATATAACAATGCATTAACCCGTAAATGGTCCAAACATATATATACGTTCACTACCGTACTGCCCCAACTTTTATGAGAAAAAAAAAAAAAATTGTTGTTTTTTAATAGGAAAAAAGAGCATATGGTACCCAGGCATCCCCAATTATTTTAATATGGCACACAGTGAGTGCTCACACCCATTTTCTCATGTCTAGGCGACTCAGGCTTATCGTGGCAATGTTAAATGTATGACACATAAAACGTATGTACTATACGTTTGGGACACTTGCGGTAAAAACGTATATATACATTTGAACCGTTTACGGGTTAAAAAAGCAATAAAAAGTAAAATATACACAGAGTACACTCATTACTTCCCTTAAAATCAGTAAGCCATTCAGTCAAATCATTAAGTCATTCAGTAGGTCAGTCATTCAATAAGTCAGTAAGTCGGTCACACAAACTCACACTTACAGTCTACTGTACTATAATAACAAAGGAACTTGAGCTAGATAAATACTAGCATCATATTCAAGTACAGTGAAACCTCGGCTTACGAATTTAATCCGTTCCATGACCTTGTTTGTATCCTGAGTTGTTCATATGCTGAGTCAATTTTCCTCATTTAAATTAATTGAAATGCAATTAATCCATTCAAGCCTCTCAGGATGCATGACAAAATAATGCTAATATCAACTCTATGGCTTAGTTATCTATCACAATTCATCTAATGACATGATAAACAATATTAATAACACAGAAACATGATATATACTCTAAAATGAATAAAATAGGCCATAATATGGCAAGTGATGACGACACCGGCAGCGGCAGAAAGCATCCGCCATTTACTCTCCCGCTCTAGTATCTTCCTAGTCCATAACCCCACACCTAGCTAGTGTTTATCTATGATTGGTGGTGAGGTTGTTACATATGTAACCACAGGTGTGGTCAAGACAGATGTATATATAGGTGAACACATGATCACTGTGGCCAGTGGTGGTGGTGGCGGCGGCGGCCACAGTGGTGGTGGTGGCGGCGGCCACAGTGGTTGTGGCAGTGGCAGCCACAGTGGTGATGGTGGTGGCCAGCTTCCCCACTCTATGCTGCTACCTTCTTTGTTTCTCTAGTTTTTTTCATAGTTTCTAATCACTTCCTGAGCTTCTTGCTGATTGTACGCAAATACTGTCTCTTTGGGTGAGGCACTGTAAGAAATTTGTACAATACAGTGGACCCCCGCATAGCGACTTTAATCCATGCAAGAGGGCTCATTGTTATGCGAAATGATCGGTATGCAAATGAATTTTCCCCATAAGAAATAATGGAAATCAAATTAATCCGTGCAAGACACCCAAAAGTATGAAAAAAAAATTTTTACCACATGAAATATACATTTTCCTACACACAAAGAGAAGGATACATGCACAATAGTAGAGTAGTACATGCACAATATATATTGTGCATGTACTACTCTACTAAATGAAGAATAAATGACACTTACCTTTATTGAAGATGCAGCAATGACTGATGGGACACTGTGTCCTGGGAGTGCCTTTTCCTCCTGAGTACTGTAGGTCCTGTTTGGCATTTTCTTCCAGAACAGGCCTTATCACACTGTGTATGCCACTACGATTCTTGAATCTCTCAAACCAACCTTTGCTGGCTTTAAATTCACCAATATGAGCACTAGTTCCAGGCATTTTTCCCTGTTCACCTGGGTGTTAGTCGACTGGTGTGGGTTGCATCCTGGGAGACAAGATTAAGGACCCCAATGGAAATAAGTTAGATAGTCTTCGATGACACTGACTATTTTGGGTTATCCTGAGTGGCAAATCCTCTGGGGTTAATTGTTTCTTGGTATTCTCAATAAGCCATACCAACAACGGTGCTACAGCAGCAGCAGCAGCAGCTGACAGTGCTACAGCAGCAGCAGACGATGCTACAGCAGCAGCAGACGGTACTACAGCAGCAGCTGACAGTGGTACAGCAGCAGCAGAAGCTGACAGTGCTACAGCAGCAGCAGACGATGCTACAGCAGCAGCAGACGATGCTACAGCAGCAGCAGACGGTACTACAGCAGCAGCTGACGGTGGTACAGCAGCAGCAGCAGCAGCAGCAGCTGACAGAGCAGCAGCAGCAGCTGACAGAGCAGCAGCAGCTGACGGTGGTACAGCAGCAGCAGCAGCTGTACCACCAATAGTAGCGATGGTTGATTGGGGTTTATTATACAACCTGGCCAGCTCGGAGACACGCACTCCACTTTCATACTTATCATTGATCTTTTTCTTCATCTCTATAGTAATTCTCACCCTTATTGCTGTAGGGTTGGCACTAGAAGCTTTCTTGGGGCCCATGGTCACTTATTTTGCAGATAAAATCACCAAAAACACTGTAATAATACGAAATGTTCCGATTGTATGCTTGGATGTTACCGCGGAGGCTGGCTGGTAAACAATGCCACCGGCGGCACATGTGAGGCTGGCTAAGGGCGCACATTGGACGCATCTCGGATGAAGAGCGGTGAGCGGGTTTTTGAGCGGTATGCGAGGCAAAATTTTTGCGATAAAAGCGAGCGGTATGCGGATTGAACGTTATGTGATGCGTACGGTATGCGGGGGTCCACTGTATAAGACAAAATCACGGATCCCAAGGGTCTGCTGTGGTCACTCAGAGTGGCACATCTCTTCCTTTTGACTCTTGGTTGGCACTGAGATAGACATGGTTGTGGTGCCAACATCAGCAAAACATTGGTAACCACTACTAGTACACTTTTCACCTGTCTAGACTTAACCCTTGCAGGGTCGACAGGCCCTCTCAGAAACTTGTTCTCAGGATCGCTCAAATTAAATTAAAAAAAA